TGACCTTTATGCTCCAGAGTGCCTTCTCTCTCCGCTTCCCTACAGTGCCAACAGTGGGCGACACCAGCTAACGTTAGCTTATAAATGGAGTCTGCTAACGTCTACAAACAAACATCACAGATAGTAACGTTATTCTAAATATGATTGTCAGTTATTTTACAGCGTTCAGTGTTTGTCTCTGTTTATGGTTTTAAAGTCTCTCTCTCTCTCTCTCTGTGTGTGTCAGGGTCTCTCGCCCTCCCTCCATAAATCTGCCTCATCTGCTCGTTACTGGAGACGAGATGGACGATAACGACCTTCAGCTCTCGAGTCATCTGATGAATTTATTTTAATTTATCTCCACGTGTTAAAATCAGCTCGAGTGTGATGACAGAAATGAGAAGTTTTATTGATTTTATCTCGTTTTATTGGTTTATTTTTATTTCTGCCTCTGACTCACTCAGATATCAGATTGTTCCAACAGTTTCATCTCAACACCAATGAAAATAATTATGTTTTAGACACTTCTCTCTCTGCAGTAAGATCATTATATTATATAAAACACCAACAGTATGCTGGTCAGAAGATATCTGGTAGCTTCACTCACCATCTCAAAAAAACAACATTTATTAACGTTTGGCCTGACGTCAAATATTATATTTAACACATTAAATGTAAGATTGGAGTGTTGTGACTTTATTTTATAACCAAAGATTAAAAGGTTTATTTTAAAAGTGTGCCACGAATCTTTGATATTAACTCGTCGTCTGTTGAGCTTTTAAAATGATAACTAAGCTAACGTAATGTAATGTAGCGTAACTTCCATGTTACACTTTAATAACAGCAGCAGTGTGTTCGCACCATAAAACCACCATTTATATCAGAATATATAAACAGACACTTCGAACCTCCGTTAGCACAGTGACCTAAGCTGAAAATGTAACGACAATAACGACATTAACGTAACATTTCTAGTCTAACGTTACAATAACGACATTAACTCACGTAGCTGGCTAACGTTGGCGTAATATTTCTATTTCCATTAAGAATTTTAGTAATAATCACAAACTAAAACATATTAAAATGGAAAGTAACTTGTTACTTTGAGTAATTTATTCTTTTTTTTGTACTTTTACGTGAATATTTTCAGACTACTGAAGCTGTACGTGACCTAAAGTTACCCATAATTCCTTTCTCTGAGCAGGCTCACACACACAATAACAGTGTGGGCCTTTGGAGGGAAGGAGGGAGATAAATAAAAGAGGGAGATAAATAAAGGAGGGATGAAGAGGAGCTGGAGCAGACGGAGAGATAAAGCCTGGTGGTGGACGATCAGGCGGAGCTAGTGGATCCCAGGAGGGACATTCGGGACCAGAGCGGCTCCATCCGTCACACAGTCTCTTCAGTCGGAGCTCAATTAAACCAAAGCTGTGTGTTAATATGCTACAGGTATATAACCCCCCCGCCTGCCCCCGCCCCAGAGGATTCTGGGTACTTCATTCTCATTCTCAATTAATCTGCTGTAGTATTATTTAACTTTATAACCATTATAAACCTGCACAGACACACACACAGCTCATCCTTTATATTTATATAGATTTTATATTTGTGCTGATCAATTGAAATGTCCCCTGTGGAGGATCAATGAATCTGATCTTGTACTTCGGTAACATTCAGGTTTTTTTATATTGGTGCTAAAACGAGTTTAAATAACTGAAATACTACAAAGTTTAACACAATCTAAAGCTCAGTTACAGTTCCACAAGTCATCGACACAGCGTCAGTTTTATATCTTACATTTATATCTTATATTTAGATATTTGTTCCAGTGAAAGTTAAAAATAAAACCAAATATTTAAACAATAAAAACAATAAACAAACATTTGAAATGAAATTAAAATAAACATGTAGCTATGCTGTTAGCTTGGATCTCCCATGATGCCACATTTAGAGTTCAAACTGTGATTGGTTTAAATTTGACTGTTTTCTTTATGGAGTTCTGTTCTTGTCTGATTATTACTGTTTGCTTTGAGCTGGACAACGTTTCCTCTGTTCATTCATTTATTCAAATATTGAATGATGAAGACGATAACGATGAAGATGAGCGCTCACATTTTCTGCCAGGTGGTTTTAATTTATAGTTTTAATTAAAAAGGGACGTGTGACGATGAGCAGTGAGGAACTGTGACTGCAGATGTCTGATGATGAGGAGGAGGATGATGGTGATGATGAAGAGGCAGGTGGACTGCAGTGTGTTTCTGCTGATCGCTGCAGAGTCCCCGAACTGATCTGATCGACCATAATCTGATTATCAGAGCGGATCGATGGGGGACACTGACTCTGCTGTCTGTCCTCCGTCATCCGGACAAAATCTGACTTTAAAAACAGCTCTTTTAAAATAGTCTTCATCATCTGATAATATTGAATCCAACTTTTTACAAATCATAAGATATTTTATTAATCTTTAGGGTCTTATTATAAATTCGGCTCATACATTATCTTACAGTCACACTTTTACTTCAACAAATCAACTTTAATGTCTGTCTTTCCCCGTCCATCGCGGTGTATTTGAGATTTATGGAGTAACAGTAACAAGATTTACTAAAGTTGTATTTGTGTTGCTCTGGGAGCATGTTGGTGAAATACATGAGAGCCGAATAGTAGAATACATCCGGCTGGTTAGTGCTAATGTGTAGTTGTGTTCTCAGCTTTTATGTTTCTAGTGAATAAATCCGATAAAAGAATAAAATGAGAGATTTCTAAACGGCGTTCTGCGCGCGGGACTCTCGGTGCGAGCGAGCCGCGACCACGACTCTTCCCTCGGATAACCCGGAGAACATTTCCCTCCATCGGTGTGCTGCTCTCATTCAGAGCGACTGTCAGTGAAACTACCCACCGAACTGCCTTCACTTCACAGCTAATTCACCCCACTACCACGGCAGCGTGTGGTCGCACCAGGGTCCGTATGGAAAACAGCGCATTTAGAGAATAAAAGGCAGCAGCAGGTTGACTTACATTGACAGCAGGTCGGGAGGGTCCGCTCGGTGTCTGTCCGCTCGGGATGAACCGGTCGGAGCTATACAGCTGAGCGTCCCGGCGGGCGGGCGGAGCTGAGGTGGATGTGGGCGGGGCGGGACCGTGTGTGTGTGTGTGTGT